GGATTACAGGCATGTTCTGCCACACTCGGCTGAATTTAAGCAGCTTTATATCTATTGTAGTTTTTCTGCAGTCACTGAATCTGTTTTTCTGTTATACTCTTGCTAATACGATTATTTACTTGTGCTTGCATGGAGCCTGCGGCCTTATCCTAAGCATGTACTCTACCTCTACCACTGAACCACACCCCCAATTTAGAAAGTTGGGGAGCTACTGGGGTCTGAACTCAGGAAGTGCTGAGCTACATCCCTAGCCATTTTTATTTTATCAGTCTTCTTTTTTTTTTTTTTTTGTCAGCACTGAGGATTGAATACAGGGCTTGCAGTGAGCTGCAAGCTTTTTTTTTGAGACAGGGTCTCACTAGCCCAGGCTGGGCTTTTTACTCCCATGATCCTCCTGCCTCAGCCTCACAGTGCTGGGAGTACCGGCAGGCGACACCATGCCTGGCTTCCCCTGGTGTTTTACAATACACAGTGCTATCGAGAGGCCCTCAGCTGTTACAGTCTGTCCTCACTCATTTGTTCCTCCAGATGGATCAGTGCTTAAAATTTCCTCCTGGCCGACTTAGTCCTGCGCCGCCTACTGACGGATGCAGCTGAACTCCCTCTGTGGAGTTTGCGTGTGGCCCCGGCACCCAGGCACCCGGGAAGCCCTTCTTGTTCTTCTGAACTGCTTGCGCGAGAGGGTGACTCATGGCTGTGCCAGGAATCTCTGGTCTCATGACTTGGAGTCCCAGGTCACGGGGCAGGACTGATGTGTGGGTTTCCTCCTGGGGAGCCGGAAGCAGAGCCCTGGCAGACTGGAAAAGCTAGAGGAGTGCCAGAGCTGTCTGGCTCTGCCCATCCCCAGGCTGGCGCACATGCCCCACGTTTGTATCAGTGTGGTGGGCGAGGGGTCAGTGAACCTTTTTGGTCTTGTTTTGTTTTGGTTTTTTGAAACAGGGTCTCACTATTTAGACCAGGCTGGCCTCAAGCCGGCAACAATCCCCCTGCCTCAGCCTCCCAAGTGCTGGGATTACAGGCGTGCGCTACCACGCCTAGCTGCGAACATTCTTTGTCTTAGTGTTTTCCTGGCCCACTGCTCCTCCCTCAGGACCCTGTCCCTCGGGTGGCACTGCTCTCTTGTCACTAACTTGGGAGCAACCTCCCACACTGTGTTCAAATCCCTGCCGTTCAGAAATAGTGGAGAGGGGCCGTGACTCGCTTAGTCACAGGACAGTCCCTGCCTGTGTCTGCCCCGGCTCTGGCCACCAGGTGTGGAGGGGACCTCTGGGGTGATCAAAAAAACTGATTACCAAGTAAACGGCGCCTTGCCCAGCGTCACACTCAGGAAGCTCTGCCTCCATTCAAACGCACTTGCACGTACACACACACACACACACACACACACACACCCCATGAATGTGATGTGTCTCCTACGTCATAAGCTTTTAATTTAAATATCGAGTGCCCCAGGCATGATGGTGTACACCTATGATTCCAGCACTCAGAAAGCTGAAGCAGGAGGATTGCTGTGAGTTTGAGTCCAGCCTGGGCTACATAGTGAGGTCAAGCTTAGACTGAATGGCAAGACTGTCTCAGAGAAACATAACGGGTCCGGGTCTGTGTGCACCACGTGCATGTGGGGGGGCCTCCTGACCCCTCGTGTCCTGTCCTCGCAGGTGGGTCCCCGCCCAGCATCAGGATGCGGCGGTCCTTGGCCTCTCTCTGCTTCTGGCTGGCGCTCAGCAGTGCCTATAATGCGCCTTGGTTCCACCCGCTGTCCGACGAGCTGGTCACCTACGTCAACAAGCTGAACACGACGTGGCAGGTGGGTGATGTGAGCTTGCCCACCCACACCCAGGGACGGTCCTGGTCGGTGAGTGACTCGTGGGTATGGGTCTGTTCCAGGCTGGACGCAACTTCTACAACGTGGACATGAGCTACGTGAAGAGGCTGTGTGGTACCTACCTGGGTGGGCCCCGGCTGCCACAGAGGTGAGTGCCTGTGCCCGGCCCTGTACTGTCCCATGAGCAGCAGGAGCTCCTGGGGACAGCAGGACAGGGAAGGACAGTCCACTCCCCCAGAGCTGCAGAAACGACCTCAGGTACACACAGGGCTGCCCTGTGCCGGTGTTTTCGACCTGCTTCCCCAGGGGATGTCAGAGCTGAGTTATGGCCCAAGCATGGCACACAAGGCACTCAGAGAAGCCCCAGGAGCTGCCCTGACCATAGAATGAATCCCTTGCCCCTTGGGACTCAGCACCTGCTTGTTCAGTTTGCCTCTCGCCTAAGATGAGAATCAAAGAGCAGGAAGTAAATGCTTAAAAGTCCATTTAATAAGCGACTGAGGCCGCTGGGTAGGCGGGGCGGGGGCAGCACGAGGATGTCTGACCTGGTGCACACACGTAAGTCCAGAAAGAAGCCGCAAGTGCTGGGCTGCCCCCAGCAGTGGAATGGGCCTTGAGATCCCTCCCTGCTGCTCTGGCATCCCAGGGTTTCTTCTCCCAGCCATGCAGCGTGGGCAGCTGCGCTAAGCCTGGAGGCCTTCGCGGCGCCTGGCTGAGCTGAGGGTGGGAGTCTGCAGGGAGACCCTCCTTTCTCCAGGGTCGGGTTTGCCGAGGACATGAATCTGCCCGAGAGCTTCGATGCCCGGGAACAGTGGCCCAACTGTCCGACCATCAAAGAGATCAGAGATCAGGGCTCCTGCGGCTCCTGCTGGGTAAGACCTTGCGCCCGGGGCTGTGGGGAGAGGAGGGGTCTGGGGCAGTGGGTGGGCACATGGGGGAGGGACCGGCGATGACAAGCGAGCGACTGCAGTGCTCAGCACCTCACTTTGCATTGATGTGAGAATGATGCCTGTGGCCAGGAGGCAGCGCGGGGTCAGTGTGGCGAGGGGTGCGTGGCGTGTCCGCAGACCGCAGATCCCACAGCAGTGCTGTGAAGCCATTTCCCATCAGTAAACACCGCCGCACTACCTGCGTCTCAGTTTTTGTGTATGAATTGTACTGAAATATACAGCACAGGAAGTACAACCATCTTAATCTTTCTTTCCCTTCCCCTCCCCTCCCTTTCCTTCCGTACTGTGGATGGAATCCATGGGGGCCCTGACCACTGAGCTGCAGCCCCAGCCCATTTGTTACAATTCTTTATGGGCAAGAGACCCAGAAGTTGTCCGGGCCGGCCCCAAGCCTGGAATCCTCACCATCTTAACCATTTTAAGTGCACGCATACAAATCAGTGGAAGTATGAGTTGCAGGCGTGTCCAGCCATCACTGCGTCCATTCACAGAAACTCCAGCCCCCAAGCTAAGGACTGATCCCGCGGCCTTGGGGTGCTCCGCGCTGAGCTGCACCCCAGCCTCCTCGGTGTCCCTTTAATCCTTCCATCCGCACTGCCTCCCCACCCCTGGCAGCTGCCATTTTGCTTTCTGCCTCTCTGGATTGGATGGCTCTAAAGGAATAGAGCCCTAACCTTGTCTGGCTTCTGGGTGAGCCGTGTTATGTTTGAGAAGTGAACCGAAAGAGGTCCGGGTCTCTTCCTTTAAGGCTAAATGTGAACCCAGAACCCTTGTGTGACCCCGAGAGGACCATCTTCCCAGAGGGTCCGCAGTCCTCACAGGCGATGGCCGAGGAGGTACAGGTCAGGCTAGGCAGCCTTTGCCAGTGAGCCTTGTCCCCACAGGCGTTCGGGGCCGTGGGGGCCATGTCGGACCGGGTCTGCATCCACACCAACGGGCACGTCAACGTGGAGCTGTCTGCAGAGGACCTGCTCAGCTGCTGCGGCCCCATGTGTGGGGAGGGGTGAGTCTCAGGCCCTCTCCAGGGAGGGGAGGAGTTTTCCAGGCCAGTGGGGGAAGCCTGGGGCGTCTGGGAGAGAGTCCTGGGGCAGCTGTTGCTGCTGGGAAAACCAGGAGCCAGGCTGGCCCTGCAGACCTGGGCAGGGCCAACCTGATAAAGCATGGGCTCAGAAAACGTGGGTACATTTCTGCACTCCAGTTGGGCTTTGGGGAGTTTCCTTTTTGGAGCAGGGGTTGAACCAAGGTCTCACATAGGTACTCCAGGCTGACCTTGAACTTACCACATGTCCCAGGCTGGCCTCAACTCATGACAATCCTCCTGCTTCAGCGTCTTGGGTGCTGGGATTTCGGGCGTGCACCACCACGCCTGGTTTCCCAGTCAAGCTTTTGCCCTTACTCCTTTTCCTTCTTGGGGAAATGTTCTCTCCTTGCACCCATTTCTTGTCTTTAATTGGGCCCCAAGTGGGTCACACTGAACTAAATCCTTAACTCAGGAGCTGGGTGTGGTGGCACACACCTGTAATCCCAGCACTCAGGAGGCTGAGGCATGAGAATTGCTACAAATTCAAAGCCAGTCTTGGCTACACAGAGAGTTCAAAGCTTACTTGAACCATCTAGTGAGACGCTGTCTCACAAAAATAAAACAAAAAACCTATCTCAGGAGCTCACCATGGCCGACGTCTGGCCCTGGATCTGAGCTGTGTGCCCAACTCTGGCTGCAGATACAAAAACCTGAGTGTTGAAAAGAAGTGCCTGGGCCCACCCCAGGCATTGGAATCCGCCACTGGGGCTGCTCCTGGTACACAGGGTACCCATGCCACGACTACCAGAGGGGCCTAAAACTGCACCGCCCAGCCCTGGAGATACTATTTTTACTAAATAGTGTACAAAAGTTCAAATGCTTTTTTTCACCTGAACTGAGCATTTATCACTCACCAAGGACATAACGTCTGTAATTTAAGGTTTTTTTCTAGAGAATTTTTTAAAGGAAGCACTGTATAGCTTTTCTCTGGCATAGACAAATTGTCACCATTACTACTGTTGTGCCAGAATTGGACAAGACAACCAAAGCATGGAGGTTTCACATTTATTAAAGGTACTAAAGTTTGAAAGAAAGAAAGAAAGAAAGAAAGAAAGAAAGAAAGAGAGAGAAAGTGCTCCACAAAGCCAAGCATGGTGGCGCACACATGATCCCAGCACTTAGGAGGCTGAGGCAGGAGGATCGCCAAGAGTTCGAGGCCAGGGAGGGCTACAGAGTGAGTTCAAAGCCAGCCTGAACTGCATAGTGAGACTCCCTCAAAAAAAAAAAAAGTGCTCTGCAGAGCAAGTGTGAGAAAAACACACCCTGCTCACAGAGCAGCGGCCACAAGGCCAATGGCTGCCGTCTTTTATACTGCATCCTGACATCAGCTCCTGACCATTCTACCAAAAACCTGCTTGATCTTGTTAAAAAAGAACTGAAGGTCTCATTCTGTGGTGTCAGGTGTAGGGCTGAGAGTCTGGTCTGAGCATGTGTCCTGGCCGTGATTGACAGGCCGTGCCCACCTGCTGCCCGGTTCCCTCACCCCACCACCCACCTCCGCACTCCCCCCCCCCCTCGCCTCCCTCGGGCTGCTAGTAAGTCAGATGGGATTGCTGGGACTCAGCTCAGCAGCAGCTCACTTAGAGACCCACAGCTGCGATGGTCACTGTGCACTCCGGGCAGGTAGTGCACACGGCGTGGATACTCTGCAGGAAGGGGCAGTCATCCTTCCCTGCAAGAGGGAGGAGGATGCAAGATTTTATCCCCCGCTCATGCACTGGGCTGGGAGGAGCTGGGACTTCTGTGAGTGTGACGGAAGGCTCTTTTTCAGCTGTAATGGTGGCTACCCCTCCGAAGCTTGGGAATACTGGACCAAAAAAGGCCTGGTCTCTGGTGGCCTGTATGACTCCCATGTGGGTGAGTGCAGCCTGTAGCCCTGGCTCGGCGGGCAGGTCCTCTAAGTTAGGAGCTGTCAGGGCTTCTTTCCCATTAGTGAGGGAATGTCAAGGGCAGAGGGTGGGGCTGAGTGCTGGGGACAGATGGCGGGAGCCTCGGGGTAGGGCGGTGCCAGGGGCAGGGCGGTGCCAGCCGATGGCTGAGTGCTCCATCTGCTCTGTCCCAGGCTGCAGACCCTACTCCATCCCTCCCTGTGAGCACCATGTGAACGGCACCCGGCCCCAGTGCACTGGGGAGGGTGGCGACACCCCCAAGTGCAGCAAGAGCTGCGAGCCCGGCTACTCCCCGTCCTACAAGGAAGACAAGCACTACGGTACGGTGGGCTGGGCCAGGCCACATGGCAAAGGGCCATTAAAGCAAAATCCAGGGACACCAGGAAGAGGGAGGACGGGTACAGCACCCTTCCACAAGCTGCCTGTCGCACCCCGGATCCAGCTTCAGCCCCTTTGAGCTGCAGGGGGCAGAACCCTCATTCTGTAAGCCACAGCTTGTGCCCACGTCCTGAGGTTCCCCCAGCCTGTCCAGGGCCTTCCGTCCTTTGCCTCTGCCCAGGGTCGCTGCCAGCTCCCAGGCCCATACGCTGCTCACCTAGGGAAGCCTCTCCTGTCCTCCTTGGGGCCCGTTACTCAGCGGTCCCCCGGAGGCCCTCCCTCCACCATGTCCTCACCGCGCCTGCGTGGGCCTTCCCCAGGGTACGATTCCTACAGCGTCTCCAATGTCGAGAGGGAGATCATGGCAGAGATCTACAAAAACGGCCCAGTGGAGGGCGCCTTCACCGTGTTCTCGGACTTCCTGTCATACAAGTCAGGTGGGTGCTGTGGCCTCGGAGGCTCGGGAGGGCCTCGCTCCTTGCATCGCTGCTGCATACTGTATCCCAGCCCCACTTAGGGGTTCTGCCTTCCGTTCCTCCTCTTCCCTGCAGGCGTATTCCTCCTGGTGGGACCTGTGTCCGTGTCCACATTGGGAGGTGGGGGCCTCGGCCCATTTCATTCAGCTTTGGCTTTGTCTGCAAAGCCCTAGGGTCACGCCTCACTCCTGGGTGCTGAATGAGCAGCGAGGACCTTGCTCTGGCTGACAGTGACAGAAACAGCACGGTCCTCATCCCTGTCCCGTAGAGCTCCCTAGAAATCCCTTCTCACTTCCCTTCGGCTAGAACGAGGCTACTGGTGCTCGTAACCCATAGGAAACAAGGATGGGACAAAGGAAGAGCGAGGAACTGAGCAAGGAAAAAACACTCTCGAGACAGCAGTTCTGTGTGCCTTTCTCTGTTCTGGGACCGGAAATCAGGGCCTCACGCGTGCTAGGCCAGCACTCTACCGTGGAGCTGCAGGCTGGCCCTGTGATTGCTCTTTTATCGTGGGACTGAAGATGCGTTTCCACTTCAGCTGAGTCACCTGCTGGGAAGCCGGGGGGGGGACCAGTCCCTGAGCACATGACCTGCGTGCACCCAGTCAGCCTGCACCAGCTGCCACCAGTTCCTCCCGTCTGCTTTGGTCCCCAAAGCTGTGGCTTAAAACTCTTCAAGCTCTGTAATCCTTTGCCAAAGGAGCCCATGCATGGAATTGCAGGATGGAAAACATATCACTGACCCTTTAGAATTGCATTTGTTATATACACTGGCATTTATTAGACCTTCTTTAAAAAATTTTTTTGGTACTGGGAATTGAACTCACGATCTCATGCTTGCCAGGCAGATGCTGTGCCCCTGAGCTATATCCCCGGCCCTAGGCCTTTTTTTTTTTTTTTAAGCCAACCAACAGTATTTTTTGTGGGGCTCCATCTTTGATAAGAACAGATACTACACTTGATCTTAGCCAAAAGGCTGAGAAGCGATGGGACTGCATTTTTGTCCTACACACATTTGAGGGTGGCGGGCTTTCAAAAATAAATTTCGAGGATCAGGGCTGTAGCTCAGTGGTAGAGGGCCTGCTGAGCGTGCGCGAGGCCCTGGATTCAGTGCCCAGCAGCGCGCGCACAGATTGTCCCCCAGTGACATGGGAACCCTGGAGCCTTCGTTCGGAGGGAGCAGGGACATTTAGTCTTTTATTTTCCCTTTGCAGCGGAAGAGACAGGATCCAGCATCGGCTGCAGGCAGGCAGGCACACACACACTCTGCCCCAGGGCTACGGCCGCAGCCCTCAGCCTGGGAGTGGTCTGGGCTGGGTCTGAACCAGCTTTCTTTCCCTTAGGAGTGTACAGGCACGTAGCCGGAGAGGTGCTGGGGGGCCATGCCATCCGCATTCTGGGCTGGGGAAAGGAGAACGGTGTCCCCTACTGGCTGGTTGGCAACTCCTGGAACGATGACTGGGGTGACCATGGTGAGTGGCGGCCTCCTCCCCGCAGAGACTGTGGAGCTGTGAACCAGAGCCCTGCGCCACCCCTTAGGCCTGAGGCTTGGCCGTGACCGAAGTGCACAGGTGTAGGGAGCCGGGGATCCCGGAGCCGGAGGGCGTGTGGCGAGCCCGGGAGGCTCCCAGGGCACCAGGGACAGCGTTGGGAAGGGGCTGCGGGGCTGGCTGGGGTCCTGGGGCGAGGCTGAACGTGTTGACAGAAATCAAAACCGAAGCCGTATTTTCACTTTCCCCTTCAAGGCTTCTTTAAAATCGTCAGAGGAGAGGATCACTGTGGAATCGAGTCTGAAATCGTGGCTGGAATCCCGCGCACGGATCAGTACTGGGGGAGGTTCTAGTCTGCTGTGAGCCTGGCTGGCCTGGGTGTTTTCCCTGAACGCAGCCAGCGGGACTGGGGGTGAGACGGCAAGTGTCTTCCGTTCTTGGGATTCACATAAGGCAGAGGTTTTAGACAGGGCCTGAAGGCCTGGCTCGGGCTGCTCACACCTTCCCAGACAGCTGTCTTCCGAGGGTACCTGTCCCTCCTGGTCCCCAGCCTGGCCGGGGGGCGATGGCCATGGTGCACTCAGCATCCTCCCCCTGTGGACTCTGCCTGCGGCCCCTGCTCTGGCTGCGGCCCCTCCCACCCACCCCACGCTCCTCCAGGAGCACGACAGACACAGCAGGTTTCCAGAGGAACAAGCACGCAGTTCCTGACGAAGGGCGAAGGCCCCGCAGCAGTCCCTCGGAGCAAGTAGTCTTCTCCATGGACAGGTGCAGGGCAGGGTGGCAGCAGCCTCGAGAAAGCTGCCTTCCCCCAGGCTGCCGCCTCAGTGCCCTCTGGCGTCCGAGCCCTCTCCTGTTGATCTTGGCCTTGGCTGATCCTTTTTCAGTAGTTTCACTTCCTGTGCACCTCAGCTGATCATGTGAATGGACAAGCTGGAGGAACTGCACAAGTTTCCCGGGTTGTCTCCTAATTGTGTGGCTTAAAATGAGTCCCGTGGGCACGATTCGCTTGCTGACTGCTGACCTCAGCGACCACGGTAAAACTAGTTTGGGAGAACGCAGCTTTTCCTGTTTAAAAGCAAGTCAGTGCTTCGCCCTGTCAATTTAACAAGGAACAACTGTGCCAATAAACGGTCTCGCCTCAGCTCCGTCTGTTCTGATGGCATCTGGGGTCTGAACAGCATCCGTGGCCCCCGGCCTGTGTGCCCACAGCTCGCCGGCCAGCCGGGCTTTCCTGCCACCCTGTCCAGCCCGTCTCAGTGTCCTCCTCAGCCCTCCTCTGAATCCATCCCCGGAACCATACCCAAGCTCACGCACTTGCCCTGTTCTCAGACGTAGGACACAGCTGCATGTAATCTTAACCCCAGCAGCAGCCTGTCCGAGGTGTCTGCTTGTGAGACCCAGGCACCGTGTTCCATCCCACAAACACAGGCTGCCACCCTCCCTGGCCCCATTGCCAGGGGCCCTGCTGAGGGCCCAGTGTCACCTCTGTGGCCAGGCCGGAGTCACTGTTCCAGTTCTTGGAACAGGAAACTGCAGTATCAGTATTCACCCCCTGGCCTGTGGGTACCTATTATTTCCCTTACCTGCCTGAGCTGGCCCTTCCCAGAAGCCTGGGGCATGTGTCTTCCACAAAGTTAGGATTCAGAAAATACATTCATCCAGTAAGCTTTTTTTTGGAGACAGGGTCTCACTATATAGTCCAGGCTGGCCTCAAACTTACGGTAATCCTCCTGCCTCAGCCTCCCAAGTACTGGGATTATAGGCATACGCCACCATAGCCGGCCCCAGTGAGCCCTTAACAACAACCTGGCAGGGGCTGGAGGTAGGTTAGTGGTACTCGGCTCAAACTCAGCGCGGCAGAAACAAACCCGGTGAACATTGTAGGGGAAAATTGGGATAGTTTCAGAGCTATTGGTTCCTGATACCGGGGATTGAACCCAGGGCCTTTGACATCCCCAGGCCTTTTTATTTTTTCAAGACTGGGGCTTAATAGGTTTCCAGGTTGCCCAGGCTGGACCTGAATTTCCAATCTTCCTGCCTTAGCCTGCCATAGTGCTAGGATTACGGGTGTGCACTCCCATACCCAGTTTAAAAAATGTTGAACAAGGTACCAAAGCTACAAATTCCTGATCACCCTATTCTCATACATTCGTATCCTCAGTGAATTCTGACCGTCTCTACCTGTTCCCAAACTGAATTCCACTGCCGCCCTGGCCTCCCATGGGCCCATCTGCACCCCTATATCCCAGGCAGCCGAGGGGCCAAGGACCTGGGCTTCATAATCTGTTGTCGGCCTTCCTGCATGCGTGATGGGCCTGGGTCTCCAGGCAGCAGGACACCCCAAGGCCGCCCCTTGTCCCCACCGTCCACTGAGTGCAGAGTTCCCTCGGGTGCCTGGCCAGCATGAGCAGGTGGACAGGGAGCCGGCGCCCTCGCCATGCTCACCTGCAGGAAGGCCTTCTGCGAGGCGGTTCGCCTGTAGACGTTCAACCTTCTTCCTTCCTTGTTGCCACCAGGCCGGCCCTTGCACGTGTTAGGTGAGTGCTCCACCACTGAGCCTCGGCCCAGCCCTTCTTTATTTGGAAACAGGGTCTTGCTAAGTTGCCCAGGCTGGCCTCGAACTTGTGATCCTCCTGCCTCACCCCGCAAGTAGCCAGGATTAGAGGTGAGCACTACCTCTTCAGATGCCTCCAAGTCTGAGGACCCTCACTACTACAAGTGGTCCACAGGCTGCAGCATGGCTGTCACCTGGGAGCCTGTTAGGAAAGGACACTGTTAGAATGCCAGACCTGAGGTGACATTCCAACCCAAGAGACGCCAATTCCTAGGTACACTGCAGCTTGAGGAACAAGCCAGATGTGGCATATGCCTAAAATCCTGAAGCAGCAAGATTGCAAAATCTTTGAGGCTGAGGCGGGAAGACTGCAAGTGTGAGTCCATCTCTGGCCTACATAGTGAAACTATCTTATATAATTAGTTTTAAGGGACAGTGCCTGTGAGGAGGGGTCCCCAGCCTGGCAGTCTCTGGTCCCGGTAGTTGGGCAACTGCAATACACTTGAGGTTTGAGAACCCCAGCTTTAGAGCTCATTTCCAACAATTCCCAAAGTAATCACGCTCTGCGCCGGCTCAGTCCCTCAGGAAGTGGCTCAGTAAGGGCAGGACTGGGCTTTCACCCAAGGGGAGAAAGGTGCAGTTTGCCTGGGTCTCCACGCGCCCCCTGCTGGTGTGACTGTTCACAGCCCTAGATCCCGCCTCTCCACACCCTCCGCTGTGAGCAGCGGTGCACAGACCACACAGAAGCGCTTCTGACGGACTGCATCCAAAGTGGCAGCCGGAAGGATTGCCAGACTCAGCGGATGACAGTACAGTGTCCGTGAGGTCTGAATCTCAGGTGAACAATTAGTTTTTTATTTGGGATATGATTCTTAAGAAAAATTGCTCTGGAGTTCAAATATAACTGGTGTTACGGCTTGTATCTAGATGTCCGCCCCAAGCCGTATGCGGTCATAGGTGGGGCTTTTCACAGGTGGCTGCATCTAGGGTGTGTGGTGCTGAGATTAAGGATGTCATGCTGGGATTGACTCAAGGTGCAATGCTAGGATTAAGGATGGGAGTGCTACCCGCCCTGAGGGTGTGTAGCCTGGGTATTACGTAAGGCACAGGAAAAGGGCTGCTGTCTTGCTGCTTTGCTGACTTCTGCCTGCCGAGCCATGCACTGTTTTTCCTCTGCTATGTTGCCCGGCCTTGGAGCCCACCAGCTGTGGACTGAAACCTCTGTGAACTGTAAGCCAGAATAAACCCTCCTTCCTCTGTATGTGTCAGGTGTTTTGTCTCAGAAAAGTACGCCAGCTGGGCACCCTGTTTGGTCTGGCAAAGCCAGTAGCATAGATACCTAAAAGTTTTAAAGAGCAGCTGCAAGGACCGAGAGCTGAGACCTTTGTGTCTATCAATCACGTAGTCATGCAGCTGGAAAGGACCCGGAGGGCCCTGAGCCGCAATAAAGTCCCTAACGCAGGTTGGGAGGCCTCGGTGTGTCCCAAGACCAGGATTTCTGCCCATGTCTTCTCACGAGCTTTAGCGGAATAATCAGCATCTGCACCAATTCTGTAACCTGCTTTGAAATCTCAAATTAAGTTTTGATGTTTAAAGAACCAGGGAATCACCTACGCCCGGCTCCCAGCCAGCAGTGTGAGCGGGTGTGAGCGAGTGTGCCTCGCCTGGCTCCAGCACGCGCACAAGCCTAAGGCTGTGCCTCCGTGAAGCAATGAACTAAGGCAGTGGTCCCCAGCGTCGCAGTAAGGAAGTCCGTGCTTACGTGGGTATCCGTGCAAACCCAGCGTGGGTGCACATGGCGTGAAGTGTAGACTGCGTGTGCTGCAGTGGCGTGGCTGTGGCTCGAGGGTCCCTTGAGCTTATGTGTCAGCTTGGTCCCCAGGCTGGCTCTGAGGTGGGGCAACGAGGCGCAGAGGCTCAGGGGATTAACACTGGTCTCCAGGGTGTTCTCTTTCCCGAGATGGATCTGAGAAAAAACGAGTGAGCCCAGCACCCACGCCCCTCACTTCCTCTGGCCGCATGCTCCCCCGCGTGGCGCACCAGTCGGGTCCCCCGACTCGGACTTTCAGCCTCCAGAGGTGGGCGCTAAATCAACCTCTCGTGAAGTGTCCCTCCTTGGGCGTTCTCAGTGATGGCGCAGAGTAACATACCTGAACGCTAATGGCTTCCAGGGTTGAATTGTAACACTGATTCCCCACCCAAGGGGCTTCTCAGAGGCCCCATCCCGCCGCCCCAGCAGGGCTGTGTTGGCTTCGCCCTCCCACCATGCAGTCCCAGAGCCGATGTCGCCGAGTACAAACAGCTGTGCCGAGGTGAAGAGGAAGCTCCGCCACCTTCACAGGAGAATCAGGCGAGGACCAGCTTTCCAGCCCACACCTAAAAATACCTTTTGCCCTTCTTGACATTTCAATGTTACAAAAGCTAGGAGAAAAAAATCTTAATGTTTCCAAATGCAGCCAAAAGAACTTGGCTAGCTGGGCATGGTGGTGCACACTTGTAATCCCAGCACTCAGAAGGCTGAGGCAGGAGGATCACTGCAAGTTCAAGGTCAGCCTGAACTATATAGCAAGACCTTGTCTCAGAAAAACATTTGTCCGAAGTAGACAAGGTGGCGGGCTGGGGATTTAGCTCAGCGGCACAGTGCCTGCCTGGCAAGTGCAAGGTCGTGAGTTCAATTCCCGGTACCAGAAACACCCCCCCCCCAAAAAAAAAAACAACGAAGTAGACAAGGTGGCAGAGGGAAAGTGGTAAGCAATTAAAGCAGCACCAAGACACTGCCAGCCGCGGGGCTGCAGCTGTCCCTACCCCTCTATCACCAACTGCACCTGCCCCGCGGCCAAGTGGGCTTTCAGGTGAACTGCACTTAGTAAGTGCTGAGTAATTACACTCTTTATGTTAGAAATCCCACAGTCAGTCTTGCTGGGCATGGTAGTGCACACCTAGGAGGCTGAGGCAAGAGCATCACAAGCTGAAACCCAGCCTGGACAACTTAGCAATTTAGTAAGAACCTGTCTCAAAATAAAAGGGCTGGGAAATATAGCTTAGTATGAAGGCCCTGGGTCTGAGAAAAAAATCCTCAGTATGGGGACGCTTTGTGGTATGGTAATCCCACTTCTGAAATGGGCTGGAGCAGGGCTGCTACATCTCTAAAAGCCACGCTTGCCTGAATGACGAAATGACACCAGAACGCCCCCAGTTTATTCCCCACTTCCGTGTGCAGACCGGCTGGGAGTCACAGGAAACTCAGACACGGAACCCGGAGCCACCAACATTCGTATCTGCCACACTGAGCCCCACAACAGAAAGGACGAGCACACAATGGGACAGAAGGAAAATGCACCTCCTTTCCTGTTTGATATTCAAAGCTGCTTCAAATTAAATACACTTAATCATCATTCCAGCCAGGATTCCCACAGGACGAGACCACTGCCCACACGCACGGCCCGCAGGTAGCCCTGTCGCCAAAGTGAGGCGGGGACAGAGACCCAGGCGGCAGCGCCGAGGGCAGGCGGCCTCTGCTGTCATTCCCAACTCTGCAAATGCATGTCACAGTTTCTGAAGATCCAAGCACACGGAGCTCTCGCAGGGTCAGAACAGGAAGAAAAGCCGTCGGTCCCACCCTCGGGTGGAAGTCCGCCCGGCTGCGTGACCCCGGCTCGGCCCGCTCAGCGCTCCCCGTGCACGTAGTCCTCTGTGACCTGCGACAGGGCGCTCAGGTACTGCCAGCTCAGCGCGGCCACGAGCATGACGAAGGACAGGTAGATGGGCGAGTAGTGGCTCCGGGCCACCAGCTGGCAGCTGGGGAGGTTCTGCGTCCTGATGGTGGAGATGATCTGCCTCGTCTTCTCCGAGGACGGGTCTGAGCTGGGGATCCGGTGGTAGATCTGTCAACGAGGGCACAAACGTGAGCGCGCCTGCTCAGGCCCGGGTGTTCAGAAACACTCCGCGGCCAGGTCTCCCGCGGCCTCCCAGGTGGGTCCTTTACACCTGGCTCACCAGAAAGGACGCTGAGGCTCGAGGCCAATGCAAGTGCCCCACCGAGTCGCTCCCCCGTCGAGGCTGCAAGGTCAGCCCAGGCCCATCCGGTCCCCAAGCACACCCTGCACCACTCTGACCCCCAGGTCCCCAGGCTCCTGGGCCGGGCCCAGCAGCGCAGAGCGGAGGACACCGATTCGCGTTTGTCCGCAGCTCAAGTTCACACGAGAAGTCTGATCCAAGGGTGGGCACCGACCAGCCTCCCTCGCTTCTTTAACCCCTGAGAACTGCAGCGGAGACCTCAGAAACTACGCTTGGGCGGCCGGCATGCTGCTGTGAGGCTGAGCTCTGCGACACGGAGAAGGGGGGAGTCCTGGAGAACCTGGCTGAGGCACTTAGGAAAGAAAACCAGGCTGGGGCGTGGTGGCAGACACACACGCAAGTGGCCTCCGAGGGACCCCGGAGAGCCCTTCCCGAGCGCCCCTGCCTCTGCTTGAGCTCCAGGGCCCCTCACCTGTTGGCAAGGTGCCCACAGATATCTCACAGCTGTTCCTAAAGACCCAGGAGACCCTCTCACCCAGGGCATCGCTGGGCTCCTCCACGCGGGGAGGCTTCACCCAGCTCGCACGGGAGCCGATGTCGTGGAGATGAGCTGCTGGCACAAGGCTTTCGTGGGCTGCACCTCCAGCCTGGAGCTGTGCCCGGCACACAGCAGCCCCCTGGAGACACTGGGTCCCCCTGACCAGCCGGCTAAGCCCGCTAGGAGGGTACAGCACGGAGGGTCTGAGCTGGGTCTGGGGCACAAGGCGGGGTGATGAGTGGACTTACTTTCAGTCTCTCTCTCAGGCTGCTCTCAAACTCAAGATCCTCCTGCCTCAGCTTCAGTAGCTAGGATTACAGGCATGCACCATCTCACCTGCTTCAAAGCAGGCATTTTAAGTAAAGTTTGTATCTCGAATTTCTATTCTAGGTGGTAGTCTTGCCATCCTTTTCCCAACACGCACAACTGAATTTTTTAAATCCCGTTATTTGGGCACCACGCGTTCTCCAGGGGCCAGCACGTGTGCTCTGTGCTCAGGGCGGTGCTGCTGGGAGATGGCGGACGCTGGGATCTGGGGCCTGGGGCAGTCCCTGAGGAGGCCCCCTCGCAGGGCCTGCAGGACCCAGTCCTCTCTTCTGCTCCTCTGCCGCACGTGCCTGCCACCTGCTGGGCCAGGGGTATGCAGGCAGACTCGGCCGCAGGTGGGGACGGGGAGAAGACCTGCAGGCGCCCCCGACGCAGGCCCGTCCACATGGATGGCACTGCCTCCAACACCGGCACTGAGCTGGGTAACTGAGCACGCGGTGGAGGAAAAGCCACAGCGCAAAGCAGCTGCGCAGTGAGAGAGCCTGAAGCTCAAGCCAGACCTGGAGGCCACAGCAGCGACCCAGGAGAGAAGGAGGAAAGGCGGCAGGAAGACCCCAGGACAGGCACAGGCCAGACACTAAGGGAAAAAGGGTCCCAGAAGCCGCAAGGAAAGGGCGTCCAGAAGAGGAGGAGCCACCATGTCAAAGGACACAGCTCAAAAGCAATTCTGAACAGCAGTGAGTGCTCTGCTTCGTAAGTACATCACCAGGTCACCTCAGCGCAGAGCCCTCTCACGACCCCTGCCTGCCCAAGTGCCAAGCTGTTCAGGCAAAGGAGGCTCAAAGAGCCTGGCAGCACCCTCCGCTGCCACAGGACATGGAGGGAGCAATGCGGCTGGAACCCGAGGAGTCCACGAAGCGCCCCGGCACGGAGGCAATGGCAAGCAGCGGCCAGCTGCTCCCACTGACCAGTGTGTGGCGGTGTCTCCCTGCCATGTGGCTTGGGTGCATGAGGTCCCCCAGAAGCTGCTTCCAGCTGCTCTCACTGCAGCCAGCAAAGACAGAGACCCCACAGGAGGACATGCCTGCCTCCCTACTGCCGCGGCCAACCGTCAGCAAGGAGAACAAGGTCACAGCTAAGATCTGGGCAGCAGCAGAGGCCACCACCTATGTACACGCTGCACGAGCCTTCCTGTAACCGTTCACTTGCAGAACTGCCTTACTCGAATGATGACACCATTACCCCTCTGGAGCCAGGCGTGGTGGCGCACGCCTGTAATCCCAGCACTCGGGAGGCTGAGGCAGGAGGATCTTTGTAAGTTCGAGACCAGCCTAGGCTACGTAAGTGAGCTCATGCATAATGAGCTGAACTGCATAATGAGACCCTGTCTCAAAAAGACCAAAAAGGGGGCTGGGGACTTAGCTCAGCAGCACAGTGCCTGCCTGGCAAGCACACAAGGTCGTGAGTTCGATTCCCTATACCGGAAGAAAAACAAACAAAAAACAAAAAGCCTTACAAGTCTTCAGAGATTTTTCTGTATCAAACAAATCACTTAAGGATTAACATTTTCTTGAAAAATCTTGAGTTTCACTAGAGCAACTTTATTTTTAAGCTGTATCCCCCTGCCATTTTTACATTGTGAAACGAAGTCTAAGTTGCCCAGGTTGGCCTTAAACTTGCAACCCTCCTGTCTCAGCCTCCTACATAGTGAGGAGTGTAGGCATGTACTGCTGCACCTGACGAGATGACTGAGGCCCTAGAGCAGATACCAGTCAACTTTCTCTCAAACAGTTGGAAAGTATTTTTAGCTTCTGGGGCCATTCTCTGCACAGCTACTCAACTTTGCCCTTCAATTGCAAAAGCAAGCACAGAGGATAAACAAATGCTGTGGCTGACTTCCAATAAAAAAAAATTTGCAAAAACAGGAAGTCAGGCAGCTGAAGTGTGCCTACCTTTGCCCTTTACTGAAATATAAATAACACATAGGATTTAATTTATAGTAAACAGACTTGCCCATAAAGTTTAAAAAAACACTTTATTGTTTTTTTAAGACAAGATTCTGCTATGTAGTGAGGCTGGCTTTGAAATCATGGCAATCCTCCTGCCTCAGCCTCCTGAGTGCTGGGATTACAGGCATGCACCACCAAGCCCAGCTGAAAAATGGTTTTCTAAAATCAGTGATCAGAATAAAAATGTAGAATCAAAACAATCTGAACCCTACAGTATGTAACAAGTTTCCAATCTGCATCAATTGAAAATACTGTGTCTACACTGGCACTGTTCTACGTGAAAGGGTAAATGAACCCTTTGAACTGTAGTTAACAGCACCAGCTCTGCATGGAACAGACTTGTCCAACTTATGGCTGCAGCCATGCGGTGGAGACCTCGGTTTCCCTAGCAAGAATCCACCTCTTCTTGCTACGCCAGTTACACAGTGAGCTTGAAATAAGTGCCAGCTACATGGAAAGCCGAAGTCATTGGTAGTAATGCTTTGGTCAATGAATGGCTGAGTAATTTCACTTACTGTAGTTACTACAGGAATTATACCAGCGTTTTTGTTTTTGTTTTTGAGACAGGGTCTCACTTAGTCTAGGCTGGTCTTGAACTCACTATTTAGCCCAGCCTAGACTCGAACTTGTAGGGATCCTCCCACCTCAGCCTCCCAAATGCTGGGATTGCAGGCATGTGACACCACGCCCAGCTTTTGTTGTTTTTAAGATTTGGTTTTCTCTTCAACCCCTACAGGTAGAAATGCTGTGTCCACCACTTCTTAGGTAGAAAGCAAGGCAGGAAAACAAGGAGGCTGGGCTACGTCTGACGTAAGTCAGAAGTCTCGGTTCTGTAGGTTTCGTTCAGATGAAAACGCTGCTACAAACCAACCCCTGCAAGTGCACGGGGAAGTGGGGGGGATCACAAACCACAGCAGCAGTTACCTCCGAGGGGCTCAGGGTAAGGAGGAGTGAGGGGGCCTTTCCTGTCTCCTACACTGCAGTCTCCCACCTGCAGGACATCTGACCCGAGGGGCACCCGCCAGGCGCCCACCGGACCAGAGCGAGTCCTGCCTGCGAGGAACCACTAAGAAACCTGGGCGCCTCTGGGACCGCCCCAGCGATGACTTGAGCAAGTGTGTGTGGCACTGCAGGGCAGCTTGGGATTTGGAATGGGATCTGCAAAAGAAACGCTTCTAGCTTTGGGTCTTCCTGGGCCTAAATATCCCACCATGCTTTCTCACCGGATGCCCGACTGTGACGGGGCAGGTGGCTGGAAGGCAAGGACCGAGTGCGGGACCCACTCAGCGAGGCAGGCGCGGCGGCTACACCGGCTGAGCCAGCAGCAGCGCCAGGAGCGTAGGCGTCTTAGGGCTGGGAAGGCTCCTGGTGGGACAGCACTGGCCTACGATGCACAGACCTTGGGGTGCACCCCAGTATCATAAAATAAACATCTCCAGAGCGGCTCCGCCCCAGCCTTGCTTCATTCACTCCCCGGCCAGGCGCTCTGCAGCTCGGCCATGAGCTCAGCTCCTGGGCACACATTTTTTTCCCCAATCAAGGACACAAACTCCTGTTTGCTTAGGCCGCGGTGTACTGACTTAAGAGGATTCCCTTAATCCTAAGGATTCCCTTAATCCTGGATTCTAAGTCCAGGCATGTGGTAAGAAATAGTGACATTATTTCAATCATACAGCCAGAAATAACCCAGGGACTTGGAGAGAAACCCACCTCTTCCATGTACTGGCATATGATGGCTTTGACGGCTGGCATGTTGTTGGCGTCCATCATCAGGGTAACTGCCTGGCCCTTGCGGATCTTCACCACCCCTCTGAACACCTGCTGGTTGTTGTAACAGGCGGCCAGGGTGGCGATGGCCATGACCTACGGGAAACAAGGGGGGGAAACCAACTCACTGCAGGTCGTGAAGGAAACGAAAGGGTCACGAACAGCTCTGTGAGCGATCCTGCGCAGGGGAGGAATCTTCTCAGAAAGCGTAGCTGCCGCCAGCTGAGACCTAACTTCCAGAAAGTCTGCACCCGCCAAGAAAGCATGTGGAGATCTTCAGCCTTCCCATTCCTCCCGTTCTCAGAGACCCACAGAATCAAGGTGCTCTGCGGTGTTACACTATTCTGTGTAAGGCTTTATCTTTTTTTAAAAAATGACAGAGCAGTGGATTATTAGATTTGAAGTATGTATTTCAAAATTCTACCTGGAAAGAATTTTCTGTTTTAGTTTTTTTCTCTTTGCCTATAATGGACACAACGATTATGTATATGAAAATAATAGGAGAGGAAAACAGGAAGGGAGGGTGATTCCCTGTGCTTTGAGGCAAGGTGCAGGGTAAACGGAGCCACCGTTCAAAGCTGGTCAGTCAGGTCAGGATGAAAGCACGTTTCCAGATCAGTTAGAGCCTACGGCTTTTTACACTTATTTGAGTTACTGACTGGCATAACTCATTAACAACAATTAATGGGGTTCCCCTACAACACTGAGGGGCCAGGGCTACAGAATCAGGTTTGGCTGTCCTGAGTACAAGGAAAGGACAGAAAGAACGAAGTGTCCGATGAAGACGTTTAAATACTAACAGCACCCTGGCTGGGGCTGCCCTCAGCGACAGCACCTGCCTCGTGAGCGCAGGGTCAAGGCTCTAACTCCCGACACCGAGAGAGTGAGTGAACGAATGGATGGATGGCTAGCTGTAACAGCGTCACCCAAGCTCTGCCCATCACTCACGGACCTAGGCTGAGCTCCTTGCCCTCACTGTGAGCACAGGGATGTAGCTAGTTTAGAACTCGAGTGTGTGGGAGAAGAGGAGATCCAGGAGGAAGGTTCTGGAAAAGGGCGGACTTAACCTTGGGTTGAGATGAGTAGGTGCTGGGAGGCAAAGGCGGGCTGGGAATCTCACACGCAGCAAAGAAATACAGCGGGGTCACCTTGTTCGAGAACCATGCTCCTCGATACAGCAGGCAAACAAGAACTGCGTTCAGCCCACTCCCGGGGCCCCCACAGGGCCCGAGGAGCCCGTCTGGCCCGTACCTGTGGAATCGCGCAGAAGTTGAACACACTCTGGTTCCGGAGCCGGGACAGGTAGGTGATGATGTCGGGGATGTGCTGCAGCGTGTTGGTGATGAGCTCGTTGAGGCACTGCACGGCCACGTCAATGTTCTCGGGCTGAGCGAAGTCCGCCAGCTTCCTGACATACCTGCCCCAGACCTGGAGGGAGACGAAGGGGCAGGTCAGTCGCCATCGCACTGGAAATCCACGCACGCGGCTTACTGGCGGCGCTCAGGAGCACGCAGGACCACCTCTGGGTCTGATCTCCAGCGTCAGCAGCAGGCACTTGGTAAACTGTGCTACGAAGTCTCCTTGCTGCCAGCCAGATGGATTCCTTCTAAGCTCCAGCCCAGAGCCAGTTATGAGCCCCACTCACGGTCTCATCACCGCCGCGCTGCGGAGGGCCCTCCCGGCAATGAGTACAGCACACACTGAACAGCGCCTCGGTGACCTCACACCAAGGAGCCCTCCGGACAGTCAGGAGACCCAGCGAAAACAGAGGTGAAAGGGGAATCAGCATTCTCAAGACGGCTAGGCCTCAAAATGACGACTAATACTGCTGCACATGCCACGCATGGCGGTGCATGCCTGGAATCCCAGCCCCGGGAGGCTGAGGCAGGAGGATGGAAAGTGGTTCAAGAAGAATTCGGGTTACATAGTAAGTTCCTGTTTCAAAAAACAAAAACAAAGCAAAGCCTTCTTCATGTCTCACAATGGCTCGCTCAGGTTCTGCAGCTCTAGGTCTTGCGTTATTTCTCCCCTCTTCTGTGTGTGCTGCTGAGGATGGAGCCGAGGGCCTCATAAGCTGGGCAAGCACTGTACAGTGAGCTGCATCCCAGCCCCCTGCTCCCCTAGCCACAGCATTCCTCTTGGGGGACGCAACCCCACGAGCACTGGGCAGACCTAGTCCAGGTCAGCAGCTGGAAACAAATTCGGCAAGAAGCCCAAGAGCCAAGCACCCACAGAACCTCACGGCCAAGCTGGTGAACGTGGGCTGTCCACCCCTCGGAGCGCGTCTGTCCCAGACCAGACCAACCAACGAGCCCAAGCCCACTGTACGGCCGAGCACGGGGACCCGGCCGCTCCTGCACCTGCCTTCTCGGTGCAGCCGGAGGGGGCGACTGCGTCTCTCACTCGCAAGCCCATCGTATGTTTTCACTCTCAATTACTTCCCCTCAGTGCCCTGATCTGTTACCTCCTGAGGCCAAAACTCCCGTCCTTCCTGCTGGTCTTCCAGGTAATCGCGAATGATGTTTGTTTTCTGCAGAAACAGGCCCAAGGAGTTGGCCAGCTCCGTGTCTTCGCCAACCACAGGGTCTTCGAACTCCGAGGCTGAGAAGAGCTGAGAGAGGCCGATTCCCACCAGCCCGGCGACGTAGTGGCAGTACTGCGAGGGAGTGTTTGGACAGTGCTTTAATAATGACAGCGCTTCAGAAATGGAAATGCTGGAGATAATTAGCTACAAAAAAGGGCCATTTCCTCAGCCCAAATGCCCAGCAACTGATGAAGGGAGAAAGAAGGCGCGGCTGCTTATGCAGTGGAGTGCTACTACCATCAAGAAGGTGGAACTCCAGACATTTCCAGGAACAGTAAATGGATGCACCTTGAGACCACACTCTTGAGAGAAACAAATGGGACACACATTTAAACGTTGTATTGTTTCTCTGGTATGAGAAAGTGAAAGTTAAACAAGGACCACAATACCTAACAGACACTGGGAAATAGGAAAAGAATGTCCAAATGGGAAGGGGAGCAAGAGGGGGAGAAAGAGAAAAGAAAAAAAATAGAAGGGAAAAAATGGAAACAAAGCTTTTGTAAATAAGGAGGGGAGGAGGGGTTGAACGGAGGGGAGGGGAAAGGGGAAAAAAGAAGAATCAAAGGTATATCATATACAGGCACAAATTCCCTATGTAAGTGTGATTTATATATATATCTATAATGTACTAATAAAATTCATTTTTTTAAAAAAAGGGCAGTTTCCAAACAGAACGTACAAGGTCTCATTCTGACTGAAAAACACAACTACCTGCAAAGGTCAAGGTAAAGACCATACACTCCACATCTTACAGCAGCAACCTCTGGCTGATGGAAACGTGGTATTTAAGAATGAAGTACTTGCCAGGGATATAGCTCAGTGGCACAAGCGCCTGCCTGGCAAACACAAGGTCCTGAGTTTGATTCCCAGTACAAAAAAAAAGAATGAAGTACTCAGGCTGGCTGTGGTGGCGCATATCTGTAATCCCAGCACTTGGGAGGCTGAGGCAGGAGGATCATCACAAGTTTGAGACCAGCCTGGGTGACAAAGTGAGCTCAAGGCCGGCCTGAACTGCACAGGGAGACCCTGTCTCAAAAAAAAGACCAAAAAAAAGAACAAAACAAAAACAAAACAAAAACAAAACAAAACAAAACAAAAGATTAAGAAAGGACCTTCGAGGAAAAGCATACATACTCTCAAGTGTGTGGTTGGAGATTAGGGAAGCAACCAGGTTCGGCTTTGTCCTTTGTTCCCTGACCCCCAAGCTGTTCTTCCTGTATTTCCCCGAAACAAAAGCCCGAGTCCTTGGTTTGGCACTGCTCCCTCAAAACTCCCTCATGCTGGGTGCTCTGGGGACAGGCCCTCTGGGGCTCTTAGTACTCGGACAAAAAAAAGGGGAGAAAATTTCATACCAAGTCACAGCCAACGTTATAAACTCAATGTCCCTACCTCTGAGATGAGGTAAATGTATTCTAGCTTTGCTTAACAGGAAGCCCTCTAGAATATGGACAATTTCATTGACAGAGCTTTCAACTTTATTAAGTGTTTGGGAGGAGATATTTAAACTGATCTGATGAGTCATCAAACCAGAAAACCCACACCAGCCCCGCACCCCCGAGAGGGTACCAACGACGGCTGTATTAGGCCCCACACACAGATCCCACCTCACAGAAACACTGACCTTGTCCCACTCCTGTTTGGAGGTCACGTGCTTATCCAAAAACTCTGCCATCCCACTTCCCATTTTCTGGCAAATGTCAGCAATCACAGTTCGGTACTTCTCAGCCAGACTTCGAAATTCCAGGGAGATCTGAAATGGAGACCGCCAAAAACAGAAAATAGGAAACTGTGTCCTCACGTGGTGCTCAACAGACTCAGGCCCTGGTAGAGCTCAACTCTGGTGAAATCAGCCAACCACTTCCCCTTCTCAGTTCCCCAGTTTACACCACAAAACTACCGCCTCCTTCATCCAACCCCTGCATTCCTTAAATGATTTAGTTTAAGGCCTGCTGCCCAGTATTTTTTTCTTTACAAGCCCAAACTCTGACATAGAAAAGTACTGGTGGTTTTAAAGATTCAATGCAACTGCACGAACACCTTAAGTTCAAAGAAGCATTTACAGGTTATCAAAGCCCAACATAAGAACACCACAAAACTTACAGAAAACACTATAAAATGTTAATAGACCTGACCTACAACACTGTGAACAGCAAACAGATCACACGTGTGAGATTTTCGTGGTCTGTGTCTAGAGAAAAGTAAGAAGAACATCAGGAAACACCTAAACTCGAGGGTCTGCAGGGCCGCAGCTGGGCGAGGAGGCCAGGCCGAGTCACAGGCCTGAGACAGTGCCGCTATCTCTGAGGGGCACCAAGTGTTAAATCCCCCAAACCGCAAAACCAATCTGTTCTTTCCACGACAGCTGCTCCACATTAAAGCCAGAGTGAGATTCCCCTGGCAGACAGAAACTAACTGGCAGCTCTGCCCAGGGACTGGACCAGGGACTCTTCCTAGGACTCTGTCCCCCTCACAGCTCCGCAGGCAGACCAGTTCTATTTATAAGAAAACAGGGCACAGGGGGGACAAAAGGGGCGTGGGCCCAAGACAAACACCCCAACATAAACACTCCCACCCAGGACCTGGGTCCATTCTCTTCAACAGCTTGCTGGCACTTGTTACATAATTGTGCAATTCAAAACATGAAATCAAAAATACCAGGAAAAAGTGACAATGCAGAGCTCTGTCTTCCCAGAGACCCAAGAGACAGAGGGAGCTCTGGGCGACCCCAGCCTGGCCCTGTCATTTCTTTCTCTGGACACAGCAAGCAGCCATGAGCCACATCACTTCCTCTACCCTTGGGAACTCTGACCATGAACTAGAACCCCTGAAATCCTGAGCCAAAATAAATCCTTCCTCTTTGCAGTTGCTTGGCAAAGGAATTCAGTGACAGCAACAAAAAGCTAATGTATCTGCCTGTCTCAAGCTTCTGCTCCCTTTTATTTCTCTTTCAGAAAATGTCAATTTAATGTTCAAACGGGAAAATTTCCAGGGGAAAGCATTTTCCATTGCAGTGCTGTGTGTGTATAGGGGAAGACACTTAGGCTTTACAAACACAGTGGAATAGTGTCTGAAAATTTACTGAGAGCCAGATGTGGTGGTGTATGCCTGTGACCCAGGACTCCGGAGCCTGAGGCAGGAGGATTGCCCTGAGTTCCAGGCCAGCCTGGGCTACATAGTGAGTTCAACACGAGCCTGAACTACACAGCGAGACCCTACCTAAAAACAAAAACAAAAACATAATTTACTAGCCATCTGCCCCAAATTATTTTAGCATTCATAGTTTTATAATTTTACTTTTTATTTAATTCATAAGTTTTAATGGTACCAAAGACATTTATCTCATGGTCAGATATTAACTGTTGTAGGGTTTTTTTTGCTTAGTTTTTATTTTTACCGGTACGTTTGCCATACATAACCATTATTTTCCTTGTGGGCTTTTTTGTTTGTTTGGTTGATCCAGCTTTTGGAGGCTAGACTGAGCTAGAATCCCATTTTTTTAGAGGGAGACTTCAATTATAAAGGTCCAACTACTGCAGCAGTTCATCTGCTTTAGCAGAGTTCAAAGGCCCAGCAGCGAGTGGCCAGATGTCCACTCCAGCCACAGGAACCCATGCTGGCCATCAGCTGTCCTGGAGGCACCCACGTACCAGTCAGACCTTCCCTAGGGGAGCTGGAATGCCTCATCCAGTTCTGGCCGCTTCTCCCTTTGATTCCTGTTGTACTGTATCACCCTTTCAGCTCTGGCGCTGAGATGTGCCCCTGGCAAGGCCCTTCTCCAGCCTTCTTTTGCAGTGCCTGGACCCTCCTGTCTATCCAGCTTCCTCCCCGTTCAGATGTACACATTGTATTCGTTTCAACAGCAAAAGCCACATAAGGACTATTCCTGGGCAAAAACTCTGGCAACTATGTACAAAAAGCTTTCTTTGGGCAATCAGGGAACATGTGGCTTTACTAAATCAATCCTCTACTTGTAAGATATGGAAGGGTCACTTATTTGTGCGATAAGACACATAAATTCTAGAACAGTAGGACTTAGTTATATGTATGACAGAAACCTGAGGAACCCTTGACAGCTGAAGGTTTTAATTATAACCTACTTTATTCCAAAACAACAGACCTGCAAGCTACTACTTGCAGAATACTTGGCATGTACCAGGCACCACTCTACGTACTTAATATATATGGGATTATTCCACCCTTGCAGCTCAACTTTGCCAATGAGGACAGTCAGGCACAGAAAACTGAGCATGTGCCAGGAGCACAGGGCTCTGAGTGACGGAGGCTCACCTTGCTGCCCAGTCCTCACCCAGCTGCTGAAGGACCCCTCCCTTGCTACAGTGGCACCAATGCAGTCCACAGCTGGTCCAAGCTGGCCTGGGAATCTGCCTTTCACAGCACTGTGGGGTGAAGGGTCTTCCCACCACAGGCTTCCAGACACCACACAGGAAGGAGTAGCTACTGCTGCTCTGAGAGCCTTACTATACTCATTCTTGTAAAGCTCCCAACTCTGTCAGGCAGGCACTATTACTGTCCCTACATTACAGATGAACAAACTGAGGCACAGAGTGACCATGCAACTAAACAGGCATTAGTAAGCTGCAAATCCAACTCAGACGGTGCAACTCCAGTCTGACTGCTCCCTTCTCCGCAACCACCTGGGCGAACTGCCTGCTACGCTACTATGTGTGCCCAAGGGCACACGGAGCTGCAGCCGCTACCGTGGGGAAGTCCTCCAGCACTTGTCGGTGCTTGTCCTTGCTCTCCGTGTACCGCCAGTCAGGGTCATAAAGGAAGGTGTGGAAGCTCCGCAGCAGGGGGACCTTCCGCTCCACACTGATGGTCATGTCATCCTCCAGCGTGTCCAGAGCTCGGAGAACCAGGTAAAACACGCACACAGCATGGCTGCAAAAAGGAAAAACTGTGTCCACCGGAGCAGGCAACCAAAGGTTTCACTTTTAAATGACGTCTAACTTGCACAGCTCATTTTCTAAAGTTGCCTATACCCTAACTCTATAGGACTACAAAATGATGGCCTTGCACACTTGACAAAACTTGTCAGTTTTCCTTTCTTAAATGAGATCATGGAACTGTGTAATCTATAGAACACAAAACTAAGAACCAAGCAGGTGGATGCCACGACTGCACCGAATTACTTAGAACTACTGTAGAAACTGCTTGGATTAACAGGCAAATGTTTGGCGCCAACTAAAATTTTGCAAGTGAAAACAAAGTCAAAAGTTGTAAATCCGCGCCATCCACAGAGGCAGCTTCAAAGAAAATTAACCAATACGCTAGAAAGGCGAAGCAGCCAAAGGGAAGCCACGTGGAGTGCCTGATCTACAGGGACAGGCTCAGCTGCCAGGACTAAAAAAAAGTTAATAAACACCTCCCTCCCCCGCCCCTGTGAAAGAGCAGGCCTGCAGGGACACTAGCAGGTGGCCAGGAGCCTGGAAGGGCACTGGAAAGTAAACACAGGGCCGGGCGCTCCACCCCCGCGCCATTTCCCTGCCCCAGCAGGGGCCCTGCACTCACCGAATGTCCCCATCCAGCGCCTGGATGACAGCTGCGAAACTGCGGCTGGTCTGATTCAGGTACTTGTAGCAAGTTTTCATGCTGCTGCTGAGCGAGTCCTGCGGGCAGAGACACACGGCGGTGGGCGACGCGGAGGGGCAGGCGTGGGAGTGGGCGTGGGGCTGGGGCAGGCGGCCCGAGGGACTCCGCAGCCGAGACCAGTCCTTGCAGGGCCAGGCAGCCGGGGGCCAGGGGCAACCCCGCGGGGGGCCGCCTGCGCCGGGGCCCCTGGGGGCGGCGGCCGGGCTCAGCACCAAGGTGCGCTTGAAGAGGGACATGGCCTTGATGCTGCAGGCGGCCGCTGCCATGGGAAGTGCGGGTCCACCCGACTCTCTGCTCCATAGACCCCCGCGGGGTGGGAGGCGCGAAGCACGCTCCCGCGGGCCAGCTCGTAGCCCGGCCCCGCCCCCGGGAGGCCCCGCCCCCGGAACCC